GTCCGTCATTACGAGACGGAAAAATGGTCAGCAATGTTTCCACTCCGGTCTCGTTCAAGGCTAATAGATGACTACCATCCACCCGATTTTGTAAATGAACTGAAAGAAACATCAACATGAGGATCTTGAGGCCGCCTTTTTTAAAAGACTATTCCGTAAAACAAGGCACCCAATTGATGTATCATCACGCAAGGGATCATTAGATTTGAACCAATAGGAAGTGCAATTGTCTAGCCCCCAGCAAAGATGTATACGGTCAGTTGAAGATATTCGACACCTTTCTACATGTTTTATGCCTCGAGAAAGTGAAGCTACTCATTATTTGCGTCACTTACTACTTAATACCAAATCTACTGAAGCTTTCTGTCCCGAATACAGAATATGTGAATACTCTCTCTTATCGTAATTCTGGTGAATATCATGAACGGAATAGCATTTAAATGTTTAGCAAACACAAAGACTGCATCAGGATTTTTTTCTAACTTTGCATAAAAATTCACTATTTGCATCACTTACTACTTAATACCAAATCTACTAAAGGTGTATGTCCCGATGCACAGAATGAGTGAAAACTCTCTCTTATCGTAATTCTGGTGAATTTGATAAACAGAATACCATTTAAAAGTTCAGAAATCACAAAGACTGCATCAGGATTTTTTTCTAACTTTGCATAAAAATTCACTATTTGCTTCACTTACTACTTAATAACAAATCTACTGAAGGTTTCTTCCCCGATGCACAGAACGTGTGAATAATCTCTCTTACCGTAATTCTGGTGAATATCATGAACGGAATAGCATTTAAAGGTTTAGCAAGGACAAAGACTGCATCAGGATTGGGCTAACTTTGGATAGGAATTCACTATTTGCATCACTTACTACTTAATACCAAATCTACTGAAGGTTGAAGGTGAATGATGCCTGATCTTCGATATCTCGAGCTTACTTTCATTTCGAGTGAAAGTGTTTGGTGAAGAGATTCGAAGGTCGGCTGCACCAGAAGACGATGGCGTATTCCTCTTGACCAGCTGTCGTTTGGCTTTACCGGAACATTCATGCTGACGCTGTCTCCGAGGCAACCTCCTTCCATTCCGGTGACAAGGTGCCACGCTTCCATCCTTTACATCAAGAACATCATCAAAGCGAGGTATCATCGTCACAACCAAATTCAAGCTAACCAGTCAAGGAAACTCACCGGCAAATCCCTAAAATCGGTATTTATACTCTTTCATGTGGTATAAATTGGTGTGCTTAGTTACGGTCATATGTCAACCCCAAAGCCTGTGAGTGTGTCTGTCTCTGTATGTGAAAGCAAGCTCAACAATTATGAAATAAGCGAGTCCTCTAAACCCAACTTTTCTACGCAAATAATAACTTAATTGTGGCATGACTATCCATCCGGAAGGTGAAGTTGGTTGGAAGTAATTCGTGATGTTGTCTCATCGGAAAGCGAAGGAGGACTGGGGCGTAGGGAAGACCGCTGTTTTGTGTGAAGAAGTCGTCGGCTCACCCTCCTCCGATCCCGAGGAGAGTGCGCTAATCTTTCGTCTGTACCCTCGTGACAGACAAGATGAGAGCAGAAATTCATACTTCACGAAATAGAGCAAAAATATACTAAACCAAGAGAAAAGGTGGCCGGTTGCAGCCCCAATCGCTTCTTTATGCACTCAACTTCACGATCTTTATGATTTGGTTGGCTTCCTCAAGCTTATTTGCATGCCTACAAATGAGGGAAGTGAACCATCCGAGCTGAAAATGCGTTTGGTGGCAGCTGCTTGGTCACACACAAAATCAGCGTATGATCCTCTGAAGTTGATTCATGCTTGGGTTTGTGCTATTGTCTGTTGCGTGCATGTAATGAACATGATAGTGGAGGTGTGATAGTACGAGCTGGGCATGAGGCTAATCCAGCCTCCTTCTCTTGCCCACTGTCTCTTCATGCACCTCCTCTCTCTCTCACTCCTTTAGCATATCCAACTGTCACATCTAATTCCCACTCAGTTTTCTACACTCGTTCCTCCTATTCAGAAGGTTGGCTGTTTTCTCAATTTCTATACGCTTTGTCGGCAAATCCCCGTAACCCGCAAAACGTTGTGTTTTCTACGAGTCTATTGAATGTCCTGTATTGGCCATGTTTTTTGAGCGGACTCGGATTTTTGCATCAACAAACGTCTACAAGCGGTTTTCTGTTCGCATAGCCTCACTCATACCCTACCACATAAGCATACAACCTTGTAGCAGCCCGATCCAGAAGGAGGGTCTGCATATTCACGAAACGAAAGAACTACGGAAGAAAGTGTTTTGATTCTCCTTATACATTGTTTTTATGTTCCACATCCTCAGTAGATCGCCCAACTTTTTCGCAAGCTGACAGGAAGGCAAAATCAGGAACCGAGTAGAATTGTCCAGTTCTTTACTCCGCGCATGATAACAGCCAAATTTCCTTTTGAAATGACGATTTATGTCGAGTTATTCTTCAATAATGGCTTTAGACTTTGTGGTTGAATTTAGACATTTTAGTTGAGTTCTCCCACAACGCTATTAACAGGCCCCAAGAGGATTCAAGCCTGGCGTGTATGGGTGAAATGGTGATGTGTTGCCACATGTGGATGCCATTTGGTCATAATGAATGTGTGACTTTCAAGGCCAACTAGGCGTCTCCAAAATCTCAAGTCTACGGGAAAGTGTTTATGAAATAACTTCTTATTTTTCATCACAATCGCTTACACTACTGGAAAACGGATAAGTAGACATTGAAAATTATCGGTAAAAATTAGAATTGTATTTTAGGGGAATGGGCCCAGTGAAATTAAATAGTAATTATCAGAAATTCTATTTACATGGACCTTCACAGACTGACTACAATTGTTACGCAAGATCTCTCCATCTCGACATGAAGACTTGGATGCAAACAACTTGCTCAGCTGTGGTATTCTGGTGTCTTTGTGAACAAACACAAGGAGGATAATCACCGAGGGTGGATTAGAAGAAAAAAGATTTTATGTGAAAAAAGGAGGTATGAACTAAACTGACCAATAGCAGAGCATCGGCCAGCCCATCCGCGTCGACGATGTAGCGAATGTGGCTCATCGCT